CCACAGCCGTAGGAAATGTGGATCCGGGGGAGGGGCGGTCCTTTTTTTTGCGGAACTTTTGACAAAATATTGAGGTCAACTGTAGAGGGGGTTTTGTGGAAAGTACGTGTGTGGGGGGGGGGAATCTTGGCCCACCCCGACAGAGCTGAACTAACCTAGCCCAGAATGAGGCACGTCTGCCTTTTAGGAGCTACATTATATAAACCCAAAAGTACATTTGCGCCCACCTAGATACGCCACAGCGGAGAAATCTAATTCAACTGCCTAGTGTCCCTCTACACCCCCCCCCACTACAGGTTCCAATTCAGTACTGCGCCCAGGGTGGCGCTAACCAAAGCTATGTTAATTATCCTATATTAATATCATAAGCACAGGTGGACTGGAGAGGCCAAGAAGTTAAATAGTGGTGGACTAGAGTGGCCAAGCCAAGCAATGTTGGACTGGAGTAGCCAAGCGGCCCGGAAAAAAATAAAAGGTGGCCCAATTCGACTTTTATTTCATTTTACTGGGGTTGGGGGGGGGGGGGGTTCAGGCGAGGTCGCAGATAATTTTACTGTAAGACAGTAATAATACAAACGATTTATTCAAAAGCTAATTTACACTTTGAAAATATATGAAAAATAGGTATACACAGGAGGGAACTTTTAAAGTTTGCAGCCCTCGAAAACAGTATAACCAAATATATATAATGTTCTTTGGTACATTGAAACCCAGAAATAAAGAATCTCGAAATAGCGCCGTCCATAGCATATGCCCTAACTTGCCCCGGCAATATTTTTTAAATATTTTAACACTGTCTGTATTGTTAATATCTGGATTCAAAATATGTGTGTTTTCAGCTGTGAACTGTATTCGCTCAGTAGACTTAGTCATTGTAAGGTTCAATGGTCTCAATCATCGTCAGTTTCGATGGTCTCAATCATCGTCAGTTTCGATGGTCTCAATCATCGTCAGTTTCAATGGTCTCAATCATCGTCAGTTTCAATGGTCTCAATCATCGTCAGTTTCAATGGTCTCAATCATCGTCAGTTTCAATGGTCTCAATCATCGTCAGTTTCAATGGTCTCAATCATCGTCAGTTTCAATGGTCTCAATCATCGTCAGTTTCATTGGTCTCAATCATCGTCAGTTTCATTGGTCTCAATCATCGTCAGTTTCAATGGTCTCATTCATCGTCAGTTTCAATGGTCTCAATCATTGTAAGTTTCATTGGTCTCAATCATCGTCTGTTTCATTGGTATCAATCATCGTCAGTTTCATTGGTCTCAATCATCGTCAGTTTCAATGATCTCAATCATCGTCAGTTTCATTGGTCTCAATCATCGTCAGTTTCAATGATCTCAATCATCGTCAGTTTCATTGGTCTCAATCATCGTCAGTTTCATTGGTCTCAATCATGGTCAGTATCAATGTTCTCAATCATCGTCAGTTTCATTGGTCTCAATCATCGTCAGTTTCAATGATCTCAATCATCGTCAGTTTCATTGATCTCAATCATTGTCAGTTTCACTGGAGTCAAATCCAATCATCGTCAGTTTCATTGGTCTCAATCATCGTCAGTATCAATGTTCTCAATCATCGTCAGTTTCATTGGTCTCAATCATCGTCAGTCTCAATGATCTCAATCATCGTCAGTTTCATTGGTCTCAATCATCGTCAGTTTCATTGGCCTCAATCATCGTCAGTTTCATTGGTCTCAATCATCGTCAGTTTCAATGATCTCAATCATCGTCAGTTTCATTGGTCTCAATCATCGTCAGTTTCAATGATCTCAATCATCGTCAGTTTCATTGGTCTCAATCATCGTCAGTTTCATTGGTCTCAATCATCGTCAGTATCATTGGTCTCAATCATCGTCAGTATCATTGGTCTCAATCATCGTCAGTATCAATGTTCTCAATCCTTGTCAGTTTCAATGGTCCGAAAATTCCAGCCCACTTTAGATTTATTTAGTATATGCTGGGGGGACCGAAAATCCCCCCCCCCCCGGCGGAACTCTCACTCTGTTCCTACGCCCATGCCCCCAACTCCATTGTATGATTCTAGCCACTTCACAGGTTGATTCAAAGTTTAGGATTCTTTGCATGGCAAAGTGCCAAATCTTAATTTTTGCAGACGATGGATGGGCCGCTTACTTTTCCTGGTTACGATCTGATGCTCATTTCCCAGGTCTAGGAGCAGGGCTCACAAGTTGCAGACGACATATTTGCACTGGTTTCTATTTATGTGCACGGTTATTTCATGGTTTATTACACCCGCCCCCCCCCCCCCCCCCCCCCCCACCTGACTTTCAGCTTTCTAATACTGAAAAATTATGAGATATTATAGTGTAATGAATTAAGAAAGCTTATTTAACAAAAGCATTTCCCAATAGTAATAGTGATGGCCTGTTTGGGCATGGATGCAACCCTAATGGGGTTGTTTGGCCATGGGTGTACCCTAGTTGGGTTGTTTTGCCTGGAGTGCAACCCTAGTAGGGTTGCAAAACTGGTTTGACATAAACGATTGTTCACTTTATTATACCCCAGTTAATTGAAAAGCACAATTTGGAAATAAAAGAAACAAAATACAAATGCATTGGAAGCGTTAGGTATAAATAATTTTTACTTTATTGAAGTTTTTTTAAATTTTTTTTTTTACATCATTCTAATAATAAAAATTGTAATAAAACACTCAAATAGTGTCAAGCAAATCATCTAACAGCAACGGTCACAAGTCATCTAACAGAATCTGGCACACAACGTGGACTTCTAAAGATGGGGTAAGATACAAAAACAAAAATTGGCAACTTTTGGAATACATAATAAATTTACAACTCACTAGTACCACACTTCAAAAGATGTTTTGGCACCGTCTTTATCAAGGTGGGCTTACGCAGTCGAAACAAGCAGTGCTCCTGGCCTGGTTTCATTCGGGAGCAATGAGACGAAGGAAACTATAGGCCATAGGGAAATATTTCTTCAGTCGGTGATACCACCCATTTGAGCCGAGTACCCACTGATATCACAGAACTCACCTGATGGCTTTCTCCTAACATTTATATTAATATTAATTACTAGATACTGAGCTCTTCTTACAATGGTCTTAAACTATTTCAGCTACAATACAATCATTGACTAACATAAGTGAAGATTTGTAAACACCCTGAACAAAATCAATGAGAACTCCCTGATTGTCATTTTTAAAATATTTTTTACAAATGCATTATTTCATCTGTTCATAAAATATTGTAAAATTACAATAAAAAACCAAACTTAGAGAGGATTAAATAAGAAATTGTTGACAACAGGTTTTCCTGAACTATTTAACTTTGACACTACTGATAATGATTTCACAATTCTTAATCTTAATTTCTCAGCCTCACTAGACAAATCACATCAAGATTTATTTAAAAAAAAAAAAAAAAAAATTACATTAAATTGAAAAAATAACAGGCACATTGTTAATGAAATTTATTTTTTTAGTATTAAAAAAAAATTATTGGTTTTGTGAGATTTTATATTAGCCAGCATTCAAAACATGATGAAAGCCTCTAAATTTCATTTAAATCGTGTCATTTTTTGTGAGTCAGGACATGTTCCTCAACCAAGGTGACAAGTTCCCTGACCAAGGTGACATGTTCCTCAAACAAGGTGACATGTTCCCTGACGAAGGTGACATGTTCCCCGACCAAGGCCTCGGTAATCTTGCACAACTTGTGGAACCTTCACTCAACTGTTTGAGCTGATGGTGATAACTTTTGACCATTATTTGAAAATAAATTAATGAAGTTTTACTGAACTTTTTATCAAGTCTGTAACCAGACAATTGTGTAACCAAAGACAGCTGCGACCAAAAAAGAAAGGCCTACATTATAAAAATAGTTGTATAATAAACCCAATTTGTTTCCATTAAAAAATACAAACATTTCAAGTGTTGTGATAAGAAATAAACAGCCGACTATTTGTAAATATGCTTGGTTATCACAAATGAATATTGTCTACCACGAATACATAAAATAATTATATGGTCTAACACAGAGGGATGAATTTTTACACCTTTTTTTTTCAATTGGATGTGTTAATAAACCCATTTCTTTTTAATTTAACTTAGAATTCAGAATTAGGGGCCATCCATATTTCATGCACACATTAATTACTGTTATCTTAGTCCCTCTCTCAGTTTCAACCCACCACATTTCAGACACCTCACCTTAAAGAATGTCTTACTGAAACAGCTGATTTTGAAATGAAAAGGGAAAAAAAAAAGAATTTTTTGTTGTTTTTGCTTTGAATTTATAAAACATGAAAAATTACGATGAGCCTGGGAAATCCAATAAGACTGGTAGGGAATGCGCTTGTTTTTTTTTTCTTCTTTAGTCTTTCAAATTATGACAGCGATGTGTTAAGTTTCGAAAGCATCATATTGTTGAGTTAGTACACATCCATCAAGATGTCAAATTAAGTTTCGAAAGCATCATATTGTTGAGTTAGTACACATCCATCAAGATGTCAAATCCATCAAGATGCTATGTAACCCTAAGTACCTGAATGGAACATTTTCTAATCTGACAAGCTCCTGCCCTATCTCTCAATAAGTACATGTTATATGGATGGCCTGTTACTTTAATTTATGGTTGCCCAAATCCTTTACCCCAAATTCAAACCAAAGTTGTCTCATCCAAAGATGAGTTTTAGTCTAGGATCATAATTGGACTGTGTGTAATCATGAGATCATGGGTCGATTGGATTATGCAATCAATGAGACTATGCAAGTAGTTAAAAGGGGTTCTCAAACGCAAATTATCGAAAGGGGCAATATAATAATTCAAGGCTCCAAGAGCCACAACACACCTGCGTGTCATTATTAAGCTTGGTCTCCTGTTGAACATATAATTAGAGCCACTTCCATAGGCTGCAGAATACAGCTTGGGGCCGGCATCAGTTTGAGATCCTTAACGCAGGTCCTGATAGTATGGCACTTGAGAAATTCTATGAATGATGCTAGGGGAGCTGCACAGCTAATTCACTGAGACATTTTACAGCACATGTGAAGCCAAAGATACATATGGCAGCTAATTCACTGAGACATTTGACAGCACATGTGAAGCCAAAGATACATATGGCAGAGACACAGAGATTGATGTTGAAGTCACATGTTTTTTTTGTTTCTAAACCAGTGAGCTATTTGATTCATAAAACAATATTCTGCTGCAGTAAAACTTTGATTTTCACCCAGAGGGCCACATTTGATACCCTGTTGATGTTCCTCTAGTGACAACTAGCTTTTAACGGCATCACAAAATTAAAATAAATTGATCACAAACGAAAAAATGTAATTTCAAAGCATTAAAATCAAAAAGTGTGCATTGAAATAAAATTATGTCCAACTTAACAAACCCCCTCTCCCCCTTTCTAAAAAAAAAAAAAAAAGAAAAAAAAAAAAAAAAAGTAATTTCAAAGCAATAAAATCAAAAAGTGTGCAATGAAAAAAAATTATGTCCAACCTAAAAAACCCCCCCCCCCCCTTCCCCAACACACAGCAAAAAAATAAAATAATAAGCATAAATGACAATAACCAAAAATAATGAAAGACAAAGGTGAAGCTTATGGGATAACTTACAGAGCATCAAATTGTTATACTTAATAGCAAAATAAAATAACTACCGGTCTTATAAAAATTATTGTAAAAAAAAAGATTTTTAAAAAAATGAGCGGTAAAAAAAAAATTACAAACACTTTATGATAAAATAAAAAAAATGATAAAATACAAAAAATCTGAAAATAGTTCATTGATAGCACAAATATTTCAGATCAAAATTTCTAGACACAGTTTGTTTCTATTATTCCCTCAACAAATTTGTAATCAATAAAAATTATAATTTTAAAATACCTTTCAAACAGTTTACAAACAAAAAAATAAACTAACAATAATTTGTGTGGCAATCATTTAACCACAAAAAAAACCACAGTCATTCAGTTCCATGAGTTATACATTTAGCAGAGATAAAACAACATACACGATACATCACTACATGTAGAATATAGAAGACTGGCAAGGTGCACATTGACAAGATCATGGGTTTTACCACAAAAGAGACTTTTTAATGTAAGGAGCTTCATCTTGAGACACTGAAGTCACATGCATGTATTTTGGAATTATTTATCTAAAAGTAAAATTTTCCTGAATCAAAATAATCCTATCTTTCAATTTTGGAATTATTTATCTAAAGGTAAAAGTAAAATTTTCCTGAATCAAAATAATCCTCTCTTTTGGGGCCTACAAATTTTAGAGTAACTTAAACTGACATTACCGGTACTCCAGTAATGGTTCCAGTCTCTAGGACTGTCGGCATGCATGTTTAGTTACAATATTTTCAAAATGATAAAATCCTCTGTGAAAGTTCAACAGATTCACATGGCAGTTGTTTTAGCATCATCCATCTAGTGGAGTAGATACACATTTGTTTTGTTTTATTTTATTAATGTATGCCAATTAATTTTTTAAGCTCATGATTTTGTTTGTTAGATTGTATGTACAGCGTGGTGAGCCCAGCCTAGGCTGGGGTACCAAGCTATATAAAACCACTAATAATAATAATACCAAAAAGATTACGATATTATAAAAATATTTACAGTAAAATTCTAGGACAATAAGTAGGTAATTCTGGATTACAACACCTCTAAATCCTCACTGCATGATATCACTTCCCTATCATCCTTCAATCTGTTATCAAACATGATATCCCCGCCCTAGGTGTCTTTTATGCCATCATTCTAATATATATCACAGATTTGTAATAGACATCTACTGTATATTTACACTTTTCTGCAGTAACAACCGTAGATGACCAAATGGTCGGTCAGTGGTTTAAAAGGAGCTGGTGCTATTCTGTGACAGTTTAGTGATATACTTTTAGCAATACCAAACCTGGTCTAAACAATTGAATCAACTCATTCATATAACAATTACTAGTCATTCATCTTTTCAATGCCCATGAAATAACGAAACTGAAATAACATCCTCTAGTTCAGTCATGTATTTTAGTATCTTGTGTTCTCATCTACATCAACCAACTCAGAGACGTTATACAGGCTAGATATATAATCCTCAAATTATTTCTACAAATATACAACATGAACACTCTTTTTGTTTTCATCCATGCGGTAGTCTTAACTTATTTATTTTCTTCGTTCAAATTCAATACATTTAGTGACCTCAGATAAACAAAAAGAATCATGATTGCTTTAATGAAAAGAGATTAATTTCTTTTCTGCAGCAGTTTGCACCAAAATAAAATTGGAAATGCAACCATACATTATTATTTTGAAAAAAAAATTGCCATAAAGGACAAGGAGTACCATATTTAGATTGCAGATTTGTAAATAAATCCAATTGTTAAATATAGAAATGGGTATCTAACAAGTCTACAATTTGTATACCTGTATCAATTTGAACAGTTTTAAGGGATTTAACACTAACCGTCCTCATAACATTAACGAATTGGCTAAAAACTTGAGGAAAATGTACAGGACAATTTAATAAAATTAAATCTTAATATCTCAAAACACAATTTTGCTGTGAAAGTTGTATACCAAGAAAGCATTTTGAAAATGAAGCTAAAAACAATCATTAAAAAAAATCATTAAATAAAGTTTAGACCCAACAGAAAAGTTATTTAGCAGATTGACCTGAATTAAGTGCTGCCCTATTGAAAAAACTATTGTGATGGACCCTTTTCATTTCATATATTTTGTTTACATCTGTTTTCTGTGTTTTCCTCTGACATTGACATGACCATCATCGTCACTGAAAGCATGATTGGAGACAATCCCTAACACTGCCACAAGTATCAGTGCCCCTGAATGCTCCGTTAAAGCACATCCCTAGACACCGTCATGAGCACCACTGTCAAATGACCTATTTACAATCACAACAAAATAACACTTTGATTCCACCCCCCTCTACAAGATTCCGCTGCGACGAAAGTTGGTGAGAGCGCCTAAAACTCCCACACCGGCACCGTTAGAGAAGACTGACTCGGCAGTGGCCTTGGCCCCACTTCCGTCTCCGCTTGCACTTGCCACTGCGCCATCTGCGCTGCTCTCTGTAGGGGCATCTGAGCTGTCCTCTTTACCCTTGCCACCCCACAAGCCATATAAACTGTAACCCTTGTTCTTGAGCTGCTGCAGGAAACCTTGTCCGGTCATTCCTGGTTTGAACAGTTCGGGTTTTTTATCGGGGTCTACGAATAAGTGCCTTGATGGGTCGTCGTGCAGCACAGGATCCAATGATCTTGACCCGGGTAAATTTTTGGAGAGTGTTGTTGACAGTGATGAGGATGGCGCAAGGCTGCCCAGGGATCTTGAGGAAAGGACCCTCTGGTTAAAGTCAGAGCTGGGGTTGGCCGAGACGGACGACGACGAAGATTTGGTTGCTGTCGGTGGGTTGCTGTTAATTTTGGTCGCAGAGACACGCGAAAGAGTCCTGTCCGTGGACGTGTTTTCTCTGCCCTGCAACAGAGCTGCGAGGCCCAGGGACATGCTGTAGGTGCTTTGTGTGTTGTCTGTGACAGACGACTTGAGGTGACTGGGCTGTTGGAGGTGTGCGTCCGGCTTGGGGCTGGAAGTGTGGAGGGGAAGATCTTCTGCGACCAGGGAGGAGCTGGAGGACACACTGGCAATATAGGACAAATGGTTATCCAAGAGTATTCAAAGTAAGTAATCAGAGTTTTAAAAGATTTCTATTATACACACACAGAGTTAGGGAAAAAATATTTTTTTTAAATTATGTTTTAGTAGGAGATTCTTAACCAGGAATTCCCACACCCCAGATATTTAGGTTCTTTTACTTTTTTATTAGATTTTTTTATCGTGGGGGGTGGTGTGGGAAAAATGTTTTGAAATCAAGTTTGGGGTGCGGGAAATGTTATCAAATTAAGAGGGAGTGCGGCACTGCAAAGAGGTTAAGAGCCCCTTGTTTAAGTGCTGAGACGTGTTAACAATTTCTGAGGACTACGTAAAAATAATGAGAAAATGAAAGTCATCCCTGAATATGTTGTGTCAAATGTGGGTCAAGTTCACCCCAACTTATGTAGGGACTATGAACATCTGCTGTAAATGGATTGGGCATGTGGACTTGGCTCATTCCAGCAGGATATGTGGACTTGGCTCATTCCAGCAGGATATGTGGACTTGGCTCATTCCAGCAGGATATGTGGACTTGGCTCATTCCAGCAGGATATGTGGACTTGGCTCAATCCAACAGTGATAAAAAGTACACAGCTTATTGAATGGGGCTTCCTAGGCAAAACAAAACAAACAACAACAACAAAAAAGGGTGTGGGTGTGTGTTCATTTCACCATCCTATCATGTGAAACCAGGTATCTGGTTGAGAGAAAAGCCATATTATCTCATCTTCTTGTGAACAAGAGGAGGACAAGTGTAAATGAGGCCTTTCGGGGGGGATTGTTTCTTGGCCCAATTTACAGCATAGGAAGCTTCAAAGCAGAAGGCTAGCGTAGAAGCCTGCACCTCTGACTGACATCTTCTTTATGTGGTGCATGTGTAGCCAACTTACTTCAGATTATGCAGAGTGCCGAGTCCTCTGTAAGGGCCTGGGTTGCGGACAGTTGAATCTGTAAACGTGTAAATCATGCTGCTGTCTTGTTCTTTACGAGTGTGGACGTCTCTGGGGTCATCTGCACAGAAGTGTAAAGAGTGCTTTATCCGGTAATACAACGGCTGGGATTATTTGAACCTATCTTTATGGCTGCTCATAGTAAAAGTTATATCAAGTGAGACCAGATTATTTGCACCTATCTTTATGGCTGCTCATAGTAAAAGTTATATCAAGTGAGACCAGCAACAACAGCTCCTCAAGATGATATAATGTACATGCCTTGAAGCTGTATACAAAATGTCTTTATTGCTGTACCAGAAGTAGGTGAAACTCTGACACAGTTTGGGGGAACTTGTTTTTATAGCCGTTTTAATTTAGCTACTGTTTTTACAGTCATTTTTCACATTGTAGTTACTATTCTAGTGTCTCTGGTTTTTCATTTTGATTTTACTTTAGCAGTTTAAATAGTTTACATATTTTTAATAATTGTAAAGCGCTTAGAGCTGTAAGGTCAGCGCTATACAAGAATGCCTAAATAATAATAATAAATAAATGGTAATTAAAGGCCAAAATAAACTTTTTTCTTTTTTTCTTCTTCCCTTCTTATTTGTGCTTACTTTTTTTTTAGCCTCTTTTGTTTAGGAGAAAAGAAATAATTCATCAACCATTTTAAATAGTTATTTTAAAATATACAGTGTCGGTGGAAAAAAGGGAATCCTTTTTAAGATTGTTAAAAACTGTTGGTAAATTTCTATTAATTTTTTAAATTCCAAAATTCATTTTAATTATAATATAATGTAAAATTTTATCAGGGACCGCTAATTGTCCTTGTCAAGTATGTCAGGACTAAAATGAGTTGAATTTTTTTTAAAAATTGATGAATATTTACTAGTGTTTTTTAACATTTTCTAAAGTGTTCCCTTTTTTCCCATACACAGAGTACATTTATTTATCGTATAGCCTGTGTCAAGAGTTCATCACTATCCTTGATACTTCCACAATGATTAAAAACCAATGAAATAATATTGCCTGCAATGCTCCTCACCACACAGGGTCTGATCCCCCCCCACCCCTCAATTTATGTTCAGTGCACAGTAAAGCGAATATAAAGCTTACCATCTTCCTCAAAATCGCTGAGTGAGTACATTTCCTCCACCAGGTCCAACTTCTTTTCGCCTCGTATTTGTACACCGTCCCTCTCCTCAAATATTCCCCCCATGGTAGGTGTGGCAAGGTGCTGCCAGTGCCTGAGAGTCATGGAGCCTGTAGGGTGGGATCATAAATTATAAGACATTTTTCTTCTTACTATGAAAGAAGAATCTGAATTTGATTGCATCAGGGTAGTACTTGAGATTTTCCAGAAATGAGGCAAATATTGTAGACAAAAATTGTACACAAAAAGTACTTTCAGACATGTTTATTCAGATAATATTTAAAAAAAAATATAAACACTTTAAAAATAGATGCATATTATAAACAATATTACCACCTGTAAGGAGTTAATGAAGTTACTTTTTAAAAAAAGTCTGAACATTTGTCAGTCAATTTCTTACTCCCCCTGGTAGGTATTATGTTTACATTTAATTGTAACCCTTTAATAATGCCTCAAATGCTTGTCTGACTATATGCTTTGGTCATTCAAAATTAAAAAAAAAAAAAAGAAGACCCCTAGAAATTCTAGATCTGTACCGACTTACCAAAGGGGTATATTACCAACAAAGAAAAAGTTATATCTAAATTGTATGGAAGCTTTTGTCAAAGACTTTAGTGGAAAAACAACATGGACATACCTTCCATTGGCTTGACAATCTGCAATTTGTCTGAAATCTTGAAAGAATGGTTGCTTGACGGCATGATGCTCCAGGTGGAAGACAAGCTTGACGGAGACCTGGCGTAGTCTAGCCCAGGACTTTTAGTGCTGTTTGTACTGAATGGTGAAGTGGAGCCACTTCTGGGAACACGAGAACATTGTTATTGATCCTTAGTTGAGAGGAGGCCTCACATAGTTTACATTAAATTTTTTTTACCATTACAAGCATCATTCCATCTGACAAAATATTTGGGTTTTGTAAACAAGGATTAATGAAATCCAATTTATTTGATTGTTTTAAATTTTTCATAAATTTATGAGCTATGAGTACAGTGCATTTTTGTCTGCAATCTCAATTCATGCTGACATTTTATATTAATCCATGCTTATCAAAGGATATATTCTGAAATTTAAAAAAAAACACCTAGTTCAATTTTAAGCTAAATGACAGAAAATGGGTTTAAAAAATATCTTATTAGTCTGGACAGGGAAAAAAAGAACAGATTATTTCTTTCACATCGAGGCCTTAAAGTCTTGCTGGTTTAGAAAGGAAATTTTATATAAATGACTGCGAAGATAACAAAACTGTTAAATGTTAAAGTGTTATGAAACATTAAATTACTAGCTGAGGCAGCGCAAGCAACAATATTGTTTAAAATATGGGAAGACATGCATGATCTATAATAAGGATTGCTTATGGCGCTCCAAATATCCATCCAACAGTGTTTAGTTGTATTGGGGAAGCAGCGAATGAGAGTGCATTGCGGTGCGCAATAAGAGCAGGGCGGACAAGATCCACTCTGGATTTATTATCATAGATTAGGGATTTTAACTGTCCTTAAAAAAACAATCTCTGCTCATTTCCAACTTACATTGTACTTTCTTGTTCCTTGTGTTTCCGCCTCTCTTCCTCTTCATGGAAATCCCTCTCATTGAGTTCATTGGCTTTCCTCATGGCCAGCCTCTTCAGGGCACTCTCTAGGTCATTGGACCCTGGAATGCCAGGTCTTCCTAACTCAGTGTTGGACCTGGTGAATGAAAGAAAACCGTAAACATGGGGAGCACCAAGAACACAGCCCAACGAAGATTTCTACTAAAGTTAAGTCATGAGCAAACAGCCTTTGATGTTTCACAGTAGACCTAATTAACAAGGCAGCTTATCCTGAATTAACAGTGATTGCTAGTTACATCTTGCTGACTTGATTTTAGAATGAATGTGTTATTTTTGTTAGCTAGCAACATCACCAAGCTCTTTTTAGTCTTGATGTTTCACAGTAGACCTAATTAACAAGGCAGCTTATCCTGAATTAACAGTGATTGCTAGTTACATCTTGCTGACTTGATTTTAGAATGAATGTGTTATTTTTGTTAGCTAGCAACATCACCAAGCTCTTTTTAGTCTTGATGTTTCACAGTAGACCTAATTAACAAGGCAGCTTATCCTGAATTAACAGTGATTGCTAGTTACATCTTGCTGACTTGATTTTAGAATGAATGTGTTATTTTTGTTAGCTAGCAACATCACCAAGCTCTTTTTAGTCTTGATGTTTCACAGTAGACCTAATTAACAAGGCAGCTTATCCTGAATTAACAGTGATTGCTAGTTACATCTTGCTGACTTGATTTTAGAATGAATGTGTTATTTTTGTTAGCTAGCAACATCACCAAGCTCTTTTTAGTCTTGTGTACATCAGCTATAATTAAATTCAACATTTTTTTAACCTCAAAATTTTAACAAAAACCAGTGCTGCTAGCTTCTTATATTTACCATCAATACCATCAAGTAGGTCAAAAGTTATATCGTGAACACCACCAAGTAGGTCAAAAGTTATATCGTGAACACCACCAAGTAGGTCAAAAGTTATATCATTAACAAAACCAATTCTCAACTTACCCATATAAACTATCCATATCAGCATTGTATCCGTCACTGGCAAAGCTCTCCACATCAGATGGGTAAGTAGACTGGCCTTGGGAGGTTGAGTCGCTCTCCAGTGTTGGAACACTGAGGACAGACATCCTGGTCGAAGACAGGGCCTCCCTCTCCGCCGCCTTGGCTGCAGCTCTCTTAGCTGCCCTTGCTGTCTCAAACACTTTCCAACTCTGCGCCCTGGACACATTGGGAAATGTACACATCTGGTAACTTTATTTGTGTTGCAACAGTGGGCATGGGTAATCTCTTAAAAATATTGGCTTCAAAATGGTGGCTCAGAAAGTACTTATATATTACCTCATGTGCCTAAACATAAGTGTGTATAAATGCATTATGTATTTAAAATATCACATCCCTGTAACTCATTTTGTCTAAAATCATGTAAACACTCTAGTTGCTCATACCTATATAAATATCATTCCTGTCCTTAATCGAGTGGTCCAAACCAAGCCAATCCCAAGCTTGGGAACTGGACTTTAATCCCCAGCAAAAGCCTCGACATTAAAAAAATAAACACCACCAGCCCCCCAGGAGGATGGGACATATTAAACCTTGGATGGCAACTCGTCTAAGAGAAGGAAAACTCTGAATTTAAAACACAGAGATTAACATGAGAACATGTTACACAAGTCAAGAGGTCCCACCTTCTGTTGGACTAAGAGAGCATGAGAACATGTTACATAAGTCAAGAGGTCCCACCTTCTGTTGGACTAAGAGAGCATGAGAACATGTTACATAAGTCAAGAGGTCCCACCTTCTGTTGGACTGAGAGAACATGTTACACAAGTCAAGAGGTCCCACCTTCTGTTGGACTGAGAGAACATGAGAACATGTTACAGAATTCAAGAGGTCCCACCTTCTGTTGGACTGAGAGAACATGAGAACATGTTACACAAGTCAAGAGGTCCCACCTTCTGTTGGACTGAGAGATCATGAGAACACGTTACACAAGTCAAGAGGTCTCACCTTCTGTTGGACTGAGAGAGCTCCTGCTGTAATGAGGTCTCCAGCTCTGACGCAAGGGAATCATTGGGGATGGCGAAAGCCGAGTGGTGGTGTTGACCGTTGGCCCGCACCTTGTGTTTACTTCTCATGACCCTGAGCTCATCTTGAGCTTCCTCCAGCATTTCAAGGAGCTCATCGTACTTATCTTGCATACTGCCCAGCTGGGAGATAAGACATGTTATTAGATTCATTGCCCTTGTAAATATATAATTGATTTTTTTTTTGCACTGTTCAATCAGAATATTTGATTCATTTCACATTCCACATGTCAAAATATGGGATATTTTTGTCAATAAAAATGATTTTTTTTTTTATTGTGATAGTTTTTAACTTTCATTTTTTTTTTTCAAAAGATTTATTACAATGCTCAATTAAAAGATGATTTTTGTACCTGATCAAGTGCAATTATAATGTATTTAATGGTTCAATCAAAAGATGCATTTTGTCACCGATCAAGTACAATTAATCAGATTTTATTTAATGGGTCAATCAAAAGTTTTAATTTATTTCACAAAACTATCAAAAGAAATCCCTTGATTCTACACTAACAGTATTGACCCACTATCTATATTAAACTACACAACAACATGTTTACCTCCTTTGTAAGCCTCCTCTGTGATTCTGTTGATGCTGTCAACTTCTCATGAAGGTCCATGTTGTCAAGGGTCAACTGAAATCATCACACACAACGCTCATCAAATATTGCGCCCTTATGTAGAGCCACTTCTGCTCCTCTGATCTAAAGCTATATTGTTCTTCTCATCTAAAGCTATTATTGTTCCTCTGATCTAAAGCTATTATTGTTCCTCTGATCTAAAGCTATTATTGTTCCTTTGATCTAGAGCTTTTATTGTTTCTCTGATCTAGAACTCCTACAGTTCCTCTGATCTAGAGTTACTATAGTTCCTCTGATCTAGAACTGCTAACAAGCCATTAGGGGCAATCCATAAATGATGTCAAACTAGTTAGAAATATTTTTAAAACCCCACTTCCAAGAAACACCCTCGTCACCAATATAGCACCACCTTCGCCACCTAGATATGTCACGTCATTTACGGGTGGCCCCTTACACGAAAACATAATTTAGGTAAATACTGTCAGAGCAGTGGCGTACCTTCCTGATTTTTTTCTGTAAGTCGGCAATCTGTGCCAGAAAGCAGGTGATTTCCTCCTTCTGGTGGGCACTTTCCTCACATTTTTGGTGGAGTTCTTCGGCTAAAGCTTCAACTTGTTGGTTGACTTCACCTGAAACAGCAAGTCGGTATTACCAAAATAATACCAAGGTCAAGATGAAATGAAGACATAAAATATTTAATGATAACATCGGTTAGAGGTACATGTTTTTGTGTATCCCAAAATTTACAGAACAAATATAATAATCTGTTTAATTTTTACACTAGTTACATCCCTTTAAATATGCCAGTTACATCCCTTAAAACTGCATCTTTAGATCACGTAACTTTGGTCCAAGTAACTCACCCAACTGTTGAATACAGTCCTCAACCAGCCTCTTCTCCTTCTCTTCAAAACTGTCTGTTGTTGATTTCATCTGTGCCGTCTGCAAGAAATTAGTACAATTATCTGGAAGTCCAACAGAGAGCTTCACAGTGTTTAAGCTTAAGCAAAATTTTCAAAAAACACAAATGAGTTCTGCCTTTTGGTTTATTTTTACAACAATTATTAGTGGCAGCTCAGAGCTTTATATCAGTTTGCCAAAATGAAAGTGCCGTTGCTATCAATATGCAACTTCAAAACATGAGAGCTCACCTCAAGCCGCAAGTTAAGATTTTCATCTTCCAATGTCTTGACTTTCTTTTCCAGGAAGTCCACATTGATGCCACCAGAAGCTGGCTTCTCACTGGGCAGAATAGATATAAGAAATTTTTTGTTTAATGTCACTGGCACTGAGAGACAATTGGTCTATCTTTCAGTGATAATGGGAAGTCTACACTTCACACCAATGATCTGAATGGTGAAACCTGTTTGCAGTTTATTTATTTTTTTTTTGCTGGCATCCGTCCGTCACAATGTGACGATGGAGTGGGCTTCAGGGGACAAAATCCACATGGCCTGGGATTATTCTTCAAGGATTATAAGCTGGTTCCCAGCTGGCATCCGTCCGTCACAATGTGACGATGGAGTGGGCTTCAGGGGACAAAATCCACATGGCCTGGGATTATTCTTCAAGGATTATAAGCTGGTTCCCAACAGCAAATCGCCTCTCTCCACGCCGCTGGATAACCCAAGTTGCTTTACAAAAAAAAATATACTTCTGGGAAAAAGCAACTCTTTATTTTGACTCTATTTATTTAGTGCAGCATTTACCAAATGCTGGTTGGCAACATGGTACCTGGCCACCGAAGCATGTACACTGGGTTGGCAACATGGTACCTGGCCACCAAAGCATGTACACTGGGTTGGCAACATGGTACCTGGCCACCAAAGCATGTACACTGGGTTGACAACATGGTACCTGGCCACCAAAGCATGTACACTGGGTTGGCAACATGGTACCTGGCCACCAAAGCATGTACACTGGGTTGGCAACATGGTACCTGGCCACCAAAGCATGTACACTGGGTTGGCAACATGGTACCTGGCCACCAAAGCATGTACACTGGGTTGCAAAGAACAATTCTCATAGACTTAGCTAGTTGTTTGTTTTGGGGATTTTGTTGTTTCCCCCCACGAAACCCTAAAATAACAAATAACTAGCATTGATACCCGACTGGTGAGGTGAATATTAAGGTTAATAAATTGGATCCGATAAAAAGTTATCTTTTACTCAAAAAAAAAAAATGAAATATGTAATCAATTGTGGAGTCCAGTTGCAAAACCTTTTAGGTCACATCCTGTTGATTTTGAGAAAAATCTGTTTTTTTGTAAATTAACTTTATATTGCAAATATGGCTTTTATTATTTTTTTATGGTAACATTTTAGACTTATAGTAAGCTTTGATTCATTGAATACATAAAATGCTGTAGATTGACACTTATCAAACCAGCCAGAATAGTTTACTTTTTTCTCCTCAAAAAAGTGACTATTCTGGTTTTGCAAGTCACCTCCTCAATTATTAGTGCTACTGTAAACGACTACTTTTTATAAAAATTATTGCCCTTGTCAGGTCATGGTAACAATCTTAACAAGTAATTTCTCTCGTCGGCCAAGAATATTATTTTTGAAAAACATGATACACTGTGGAGCAAGACAAAAAAAATTATGGCGCAATTATTCCAAATTGATATTGGGCTTACTTGGGAGTGACGTCTGCTCCATGCTGAAGTTCTAGATCCTCGTTGTAGAACCTGAGCAGCTCATCTTTCATGCTAAGGTCATGTCTGAGCTGGTTGACTCTGTCATTGGCGAGTGTCAGTTGTTCTTCAAGTATCTCTGAGCGGGTTGTGAGTTCATTGTTCTTAGACAGCAGAGTTTGGCCGATTCTTGCTGCTAGCTCAAGGTCTCGTTCTTTCTGTAAATACAAGAGCAAATATTCTTAAATATAGCAGACTGGAAATTAGATGAAACAAAAACGATCATTTTTTCTCCCAATTCTTAAGATGAAGTGTTTTTTTATACTTTGAATCGTGTCTTTATTTATTCCAATTAAAAAACAAAACATGACAACATTAGGCAGATATAAAGAAACAAGGTTTCCGTGGTGACTTGTGCGGATTCTTATTCTTTTCTCTTATTTTTAGGTAGGATACAAATATTTATGTTATGTAAATTTAATTTATACTTATCCGAATGTTTTTTTTGTTGTACCAATGAAGGCCTTGACCGAAATGTTTACATTTGTATTCTGTGTATCCATATTTAAAGATTAACCTCTTTTGTTTTATCTACACAAATTGTTTGTGCTTCATGAATCTACTTGAAAGCTTTATCGCAATCCAACACTTTTATATTTCATGGCTTAATTTGATTAATTTACTGCCAAAGAGGGCAACTCACTTCTTCCAACAATCTGGTAACAGCCTCTATGTCATTGTAGGTTTTTGTCATCTGCGACACTCTTTCTGCACAGAGGACTACAATAGATTCAAAGAAAAAAAAGTTTATTTTAAGCGTCAAGATTTCAACAAAGAGAAATTTAAATTTGCTTAAAAAATCTCAAACTTGAATAAAAATTGTCACATAACGAAACAATTAAAAGAGGAAAGAAGTTTTAAAAAAAAGTATTTCAATCACTCGATGTTAAAGATGTAAAAGTTATCCGACTGAGGAAAATAAAAGCTTTAAAACTGACTTACTTTTAATTTAAATTGAGAAAAAGAACTATTAATCTATTTTCTTTTCAAAAGCATTTTGAATAAAAATATTTATACTTTTTTTTTTTAAATCTCTGTGTGTCCATACCATTTTAACTTTTAAGCAGTGACAGGTAACTTAAGAATTTAGAAATTTAAAAAAAATATTCTACCCATGGTTGGTTTCAGTCTTATTTTAATTTTTTTAAACATTATGTAAGAGTAAAAAAAAACTGTGGCACCGTACAACCTGCTTATCAATGCTATCATGTTGGGAAACCCATTGCGATCACAAGTGTCAAAAGGATAAATTATCTATACTCTAGGTCTTGGCCACATGACAAGTCACATGATCTAATTTCATTATCATTTAGGACCATATTCTAGTTGTATATTTAGCAACAAATCCCAACAGCCCCACATAATTTCATTCTGGGTCAAAAATTGTTTTCTTCTTTTATTTTACTCCAAGGTACAGATAAGTTCATGAACCTTGTTTACAAAGATTGTCAATAGAATACTCAGATACTTTTAATTTAACTAATAACAGTCTATTAATAGCTTTGTTGATGGTTTAATTAAATGTGAAAATTAAAAAAAAACACTTTTATTTAATTAATTAATTTTGATATTAGATAGCGTTAATCCTAATTATATGCAATTTAAAATTCAATTTAAATGTTAATACAACCGATTTCTAAATAGAAATGTGCGTAAGTGATTACAATTTCATTACAACTAATTTTCTTAAGATTAGGAATTGAAAAAAAAAAACTAATATAAAAAAAGCAACATTAAATATAGTCAATAAATATTAATTGATTAGACAATAAATGCAACAAATGTATGGATTTGAAACAAAACTTCAATAGGAGTTAGTTTAATTATGGCAAATATATTATTGAAAAAACAATCAAATTTAATTGAAAACAAAACCATCAACTACAGTAGGTGCAACACAAATCTCTTGGATGTGGTTACTGAGTTAGTAATCAAGTAAGGCTAGCCACAAAATGCAGGCAGACTAGATATGTACAACCTAATGCAGAGGCCTCAAGCTCAAACTACTGAAAGGACACAATGGGCACTAATGGGCACAATGAGGGCAATTAGTTGAACCAAGGGCTGCAAAACAACCATACATTATCAGTATTAAGCATATCATCAAAACATGTAACATGCTTCTGTTTCTCTGCCACGTGATACAATTTGGAGGGACGCAGCTTGCAGGTTGCCAGTTTGAGACCCCTGGACTTAATAGCTTATTTACAGCCTTGAAACATTTTGACACACCCACTAAATTTGCAGTTGATAAAAATAATTGAAGTCACAATAAATATAATTAGAACAACATCTTTGACAAAAGAGACCAACGTAACACAAATAACTGAATCAGATTATTTTAAAACACGACAAAAATACAGAAAAATGGTAACATGTATGTTTTATTTAACACCACCCTCCCAACCCCTTTTTCTTCTTCTTCATGTCATGGAGCTAAAGTGAACAGCAGCTAGCTAACTGAGCAAAATATCACATTCAAAATACCTAACTACAGTATATGGAACAAACAAATTTACCGCTATTATTTTGAAACCCAGACTTCCTCCCATTAATACGCGAAGGCCCCCCCCCCCAAAAAAAAAACACCAAAAAACAACACAACCTTTCACCCCTTGGCACCGCCAAGATCAACTACACATAAATGTGATCCTGACACTGTTGCTGCCTGCAGGTTGGCAGTGGCGTAGGAGTTGTCATGGAGCTAAAGTGAAAAGCAGCTAGCTAACTGAGCAAAATATCACATTCAAAATACCTACCTACAGTATATGGAACAAACAAATTTACCGCTATTATTTTGAAACCCAGACTTCCCCCCATTAATACGCGAAGGCCCCCCCCCCCAAAAAAAAAACACCAAAAAACAACACAACCTTTGACCCCTTGGCACCGCCAAGATCAACTACACATAAATGTGATCCTGACACTATTGCTGCCTGCAGGTTGGCAGTGGCGTAGGAGGGGTGTGTGGAGGGAACGGTGCGCCCCAGGAAGCACTTTTTAAAAATTTCTATGGAAAGGCGGCATTGTCAGCCCACTGTAGGGTTGTTTTGTTTTCGTGGAAGGAAGGCGGCAACCTTCATTGCCGCATTAACCCTATTAGCTACGCCCCTGCATATTGTCGGTGACTAGATAATAACCAATGGGTTTAATAACGTTCAATGAGCCTGAATGCGCCATGTTGTGGGTTTGCTGTTGCCTGAATGCGCCATGTTGTGGGTTTGCTGTTGCCTGAATGCGCCATGTTGTGGGTTTGCTGTTGCCTGAATGCGCCATGTTGTGGGTTTGCTGTTGCCTGAATGCACCATGTTGTGGGTTTGCTGTTGCCTGAATGCGCCATGTTGTGGGTTTGCTGTTGCCTGAATGCGCCATGATGTGGGTTTGCTGAGGCGTGCAAAAATGCAACCAGGCCACGTTTGACGTGACTCACCCAGACACCAGACTAATCATGGTTGGGTAGACAGCAAGGTAAATATTCAAACATCCGGGTACCGCTGTCCCCGGAAAGCAAGCTTTGACTGGTGCTATAATATCAACCTTTTTTAGCTCAACATGGCCCCACTCAATACAGTTGCAAACAGATCCAACTTTAGTTACGATTTATCACCATCTAGCTCAACATGCCCCCACTCAATCTAGTTGCAAACAGATCCAACTTAATTGACGATCTATCCCCATTTAGCTCAAAATGTCACCCCTACCCTTGGCAATAGTCAACTTTATTTATGATTACTTCCCTTAAAACTCAGCAGGCCCCCAGGGATCCAACTGCACCACTCGACTTATATCTCAACACGCCCCAAGCACAGTCACCCTACGGCACCGACATTATTGACGCCATTTTTCCTCAAAGCGGCAATAAATCTCTCGACTGTCACCAAGTTCAGGGTCGAGGTGACCAAAGATAAGGACGACGGAAGCAGGTGTTTCATTGGCTTAGAAATAACACCGGGAGTTAATTCTTGGACTGCATTGTGTGGTATCCTTTATGTACACTTGGAAGATGTCAACAAACATCCTGACAATATAGTTGACTGCCTCCGTACGGCCCGGAAGATGTCAACAAACATCCTGACAATATAGTTGACTGCCTCCGTACGGCCCGGAAGATGTCAACAAACATCCTGACAATATAGTTGACTGCCTCCGTACGGCCCGGAAGATGTCAACAAACATCCTGACAATTTAGTTGACTGACTCTGTTTAGGTTTAGACAGGTTTAGACGATGCTTAAAAACATACGGACTATTCAGTAGAATATTTCCGTTTACGACTGGAATGTGGAGGATTGTGTCTGTATTTTGGGCAGGGAGCGCCTTACAGGGGTCCAAAGAAAGATATGGGGCCACTTGACTTTTTAAGACTCCCCGTAGATGGATTTTCAAATGCCATTCTCTATCGTTTTGAAAACTATTAGACATTTTATTCTATCAACAAAACAACATCTTCATGCATAAGTTTGCCATTTGTTTAGAATGATGCTACGACATGGCGTTATAATCATGATTGAGTCAATCGGAGGCCCCTTCTGAATATGAGGCCCTCTCTGAATATGAAGCCCTCTCTGAATATGAAGCCCTCTCTCAATAAGAGACCCTCTCTGAATATGAGACCCTCTCTGAATATGAGACCCTCTCTGAATATGAGACCCTCTCTGAATATGAGACCCTCTCTGAATATGAAGCCCTCTCTCAATATGAGACCCTCTCTGAATATGAGACCCTCTCTGAATATGAGGCCCTCTCTGAATATGAGGCCCTCTCTGAATATGAGGCCCTCTCTGAATATGAAGCCCTCTCTGAATATGAAGCCTCTCTGAATATGAGGTACAAACCAAACTGTCCCTCCCCCCCCCCGCCACCACCTATAGAAAAAATAGTGAGCAAGTCATTTACAGGGTTAACTACCGCCCTCATACTGCCCTCAAGCCCTTTCAGTTTAACATATATTCCACCCCCAATCTTGAATATGAAGCCCTCTCTGAATATGAAGCCTCTCTGAATATGAGGTACAAACCAAACGGTCCCTCCCACCCCCCCCGCCACCACCTATAGAAAAAATAGTGAGCAAGTCATTTACAGGGTTAACTACCGCCCTCATACTGCCCTCAAGCCCTTTCAGTTTAACATATATTCCACCCCCAATCCACTCCACGTTTATTTAAAAAGTGTGGTGTTTATATGCAACCATTTTCCAAAAACCTATAGATTAAAGAGACTAGGCCAGGCTGAGACGTACTTCATGGGACAACTTACATTCGTCGGCACCTGTATCAGGGACGTCGTCGTCGTCCTCCTCCTCCACCTGCGCCTCGAAGCTGGCGTCCCTCTCCAACCTGCACCGGTGAAACAGCTTCACAAAGTTAAAGGCGCCCTCGGGGGAGTCGGCACCCAGGGTGCCACCCCCGGCCGCCGCACGGTGGTCATTGTCCAGCGGACCGTACGGGTTGGGCACGTGGTCTTCACGCGCGCAGCTCACCACGGTGCTGTCGGACGTGCAGTCGTCCAGGTTGTCCAGGCTGCCGGCCCTGGACGAGAAGCTCTCGGTCGGTTCCGCGTTGACCAGACGCGAGTCCCTGGCAGCGTTGATGTGCTTGTACAGCTCGGACATGCTCAGGGTTTCCAAGGTCTCGAAGTGAATCGAGTTCTTTCGGGTTGGCGCGGCGCTTCGGGTGGTCCACGGGTTGTTGCCGCCGTGCTTCTTCCTGTAAGGACCGGGCGAGTTCGGGGCAGTGGCCGAGCGCTTGGAATTGATGTTTCGCTCTCTCTGACACTGCACGATGGCCATGTCGTCGGCATGACGGCACATGTCAAACGGGGATGTCACGGCGTCGTAGCGAAAGTCGAGCTGGGCCCTGTAACTGTTTATGGTCTCGTTGTCCATCTCCGCCGCTCCGAACATATCAGCATCCATCTCCACGGCCCGGTAGAAATCGGCCTCCATTTCAACGGTTCTGAACCCGCGGGCGCTGACATCCACAGTCTTGTACATGGCGTTGTCTCTCAGGGTCGCGTGAGACCTCGACCTGCCGAACACGGTGACCGCGGGGTGAAAGACCCCCTGCGCCTCGTTGTCCGCCCGGTGGTAGTAAGCGGTCGTCTCTCCAGGGTGAGCGTCCGAGATGAAGTTGTTGTTGATCCCGTCCGAGGGATCGAACACGAGGGAGTTGACGGAGGAGTAGCGATTCACCGTTCTGTACATGATGTCCTGTGCCCGCACCCCAGCATCAACATCTGGTAGGAATGTTCAAAGAAGAGACCTCCGAGTCGGGTGAAAAAAAAAAAATCTGCTGTAGAGAAGTCCCCTGGCTGTAGTCAATCAGTCGTGATGTAAACACCGCGAGGCGCATAGACAAACTAACCCGGCAAAACAAGCCGGTCCCTTTTATCAACAAATCCTGCTGATAAAATAGACATGTGACCTCGCTGGAATTTTTTTTCTTCTTCTCTCCCACTGTATTTTGCTTAATCATGTAACGCAAAGTGTGTACAGAGAACTAAAGCGCGTTTTGTCACACATTCTTCTCCAGGCCCGACCAAGCTGGTAGTGTATTTATTGCACGCTCGATTGGCTTAGAATATATATATATATATATACATTGCCACCGTTGTTTTACCTATGGCGATCGAAAACCGGGTGACGTATCCGGCGACCTCGTTATGAACACCATCTCCACGATCGGGAGGCGTGACTCCGCGGTGGCCTATTTACTAATGATAGCCCGGGCATTAGCCGTGAGATTGCCACTAATAGAAATGAGATGCCCCCCCCCCCACACACACACACACCTCCCAGATGATTAAAATACGTCAACAACAGGGTGGCCTCCTTGGGAACAGACCAGTGGAGTCCAGCAGGTCCACTGTGGTCCGTGAGGGTTGGTCAATGATCGTTTGAGGGAACGCACGTTCAAATCAAAATAAACCTGAGTTCGGGTAATAAGGTGCTGGAACTATCTCAGGTACGATCTTCAATGGTGTGATGAGATGGCGAGCGGTGGGGCCACCCGATGGTTGACATCTCGCAATGGATGGAACAGTGGGCGGGGCAGAGGATATCTCTTACACCAGTGGTTCTCAACCTTCCTAGTGCCGCAACCTTCTAGTACAGTTTCTCGTGTCGTGGCGACCCCCAGCCACGATATTATTTTCGCTGCTACTTCAAAGCTGTAAGGATATGTGTCTTCAGATGGTCTTAGGCGACCCCTGGAAAAGGGTCCCGCGACCCCCAAAGGGGTCGCGACCCACAGGTTGAGAACCGCTGTCTTACACACTCGTATATCCGGATGTTATCGGTTCAGGAGTAGTGAGAAGAATATTTCTACATTATTTAAAGGGACTGTTTTTCTTTTCTTTTTTTTTTTTAAATTTAAAAAAAAAAAAAAAAAAAAAAAC